CGATAAGACTTGTAGTTTTGCCGGAAATCGTGATAAACCGTTTTCTAGCCTTAAAAGCTCACCCTTTTCTATTTCCCGACCTCAGATCGCCCGTAAATTATTTTTCCTTTTATTTTTGTTATATTTTCTTCCTTTTCCAATGGGTATCATCCTGTTCTAATTTTTTTTCACTTTTTACCATTTTCAAAGGCTTCGGCACTGGCCTATATATAGCATGTATGTAGACGCCCAAGTGTGTAGTAATGTGCGACACGCTGATCTGCGAGTTGCACATTCGATGCCAAACTTGACCATTTTTTCCCTCTTGCGCTGTGATTAATATTATTTATGGTGATGATGCCATCACAAATTTTTTATTGATTAACTTAAGAACGAGTCACCCCATTTTCTCGAAAATGGGAGAGCACGCATGGTTTTATTTAATAATCATAAAATATAATGGCGTAATTAATAATTTTAACCTAAACATCAACACTCGATGTTAAGCATGTTATTATTGCTGAGACGCCATTTTTTCCTCGTTGGTTATTTGTTTTAAATGAAATATTTACATACATAATTTAAATATAAATAAATATATTATCATCCGTACTTGTTCGCCGTTTCTGACATTTGCGTTATAGAAGTTATCACACAACAAAATGCAAAATCAAATTTAATCATTTTTCAAAGAAGCAGGATTTGTTGGTCTTGTACAAATAAACTTCAACCAATTTTTACTTCCCGAGCGTAAGCAAAGGAAGTATTGTAATCGAGTCCGTCGGCCGACTCTCTGCTTTTACGTTTTCTCGATCTTTCATGACCCCTAGAAGACGAAGAAATAAGTCTCCCATTTCCGTCTGTCTGTCCGTCCGTCTGTCCGTCCGTCTATCCGTCTGTCCGTCTGTCCGTCCGTCTGTCCGTCTGCCGTCCCGGATTTTTATTAGACAGATAATCTCCGAAAGTACTGGACCGATTGTTGTGAAATTTTGTACTTATATTAGGAATATCATGTAGATGGTAAAACGCTAACCAAAATTTGTCTAATCATCCCCACCACTAATGCGATGACGTCACTTCAAAATTGTACATAGTAAATAGGTCTTAAATTGTATAAAATAACATAGTCCTACACATGTAGTTTACGACTCCGAATTCAGTTTTTACCCGAAACGTCCAGATTTTTGGAAAAAAAATCAAAATTATAAAACAACATTTTGCAATTTAATTTTGAATCTGCTAACCCGAATGTTTTGAAATGTTGCAGATGTTTTAAGGCTCTAAAGAGCATCATAAATCTTTAGTCAAAATATATTTGGTTATCCCCTCCAAAAACTTGATGACGTCAGCTCAAAAGTTTGCCAAATAAATCCTATCTAAAATGTACAAAATATGATGCGTCTGTACTTGTGATATATCACTCCATTCATATTTTTTGGATTTGCATATACAGGGTGACTCAAAAAAATTAATGAATGCGTAAATATATTTTATTGATTTAATCAGGAACTAAAAAACCGAATGCTCTGAAATCTTGCAGATGTTTTAAGGTCATAAAGAGCATAATAAATGTTTAGCCAAAATATATTTGCTTATCCCCTCCAAAAACTTGATGACGTCAGCTCGAAAGTTTGCCGAATAAATCATATCTAAAATGTACAAAATATGATGAGTCTGTACTTGTCATTTATCACGCCATTCATATTTTTTTGATTTGCATATACAGAGTGCCTCAAAAAAATTAATGAATGCGTAAATATATTTTATTGATTTAATCAGGAACTACAAAACGGAATGCTCTGACATCTTGCAGATGTTTTAAGGTTATAAAGAGCATAATAAATGTTTAGTCAAAATATATTTGCTTATCCCCTCCAAAAACTTGATGACGTCAGCTCGAAAATTTGCCGAATAAATCGTATCTAAAATGTACAAAATATGATGAGTTTGTACTTGCGATTTATCATTCCACTCATATTTTTGGATTTGCATATGCAGGGTGACTCAAAAAAATTAATGAAGGCGTGAATTTATTTTATCGATTTGATCAGGAATTACAAAACCGAATGCTTTGAAATCTTGGGAATATTTTAAAGTTATTATAAGCATGGTAAACTTTTGTTCAAAATGTATTTGTTCATCCCTCCTAAAAAAATTGATGACGTCACCCTTAAATTTTGCTGAATAAATCCTATCTAAAATGCAAAAAATATGATGAGTTTGTACTTGTGATTTATCATTCCATTCATATTTTTTAGATTTTCTTAAGAGGTGGTTCAAAAAAATTAATGAAGTCAATTTATTTTATTGATTAAATTAAAGGCAACACTTATTATTAGTATTACACCCCAACCAACCCAATTTGGTAGACACAAAATTTGTTAAAGGAAAAACTCGGTTGAAACATAAGGGTAGCATCGCTTATTTACATCGACTTTAACATTACAGACCTGCATTTGTTTTATGCGATCACTTGGTTCCGCGAATGTGAAATAGACATGTTTATAATCAACCAATTGTGAATTTCACCGTCAAGAATTAAAATAAAACCCAATGTTTTATATAATAAGCGGAAGTCGAAGCAATAAAACCGATGGTCGTTTTGTTTACAGTTTCTCTGTTTGACTTTCACGTATGCTGTTACGCTTGTCATCTTAAATTAAGAATGTTTATACATAAACGATTTTCAGTTGCCGTATACGCGAGTAAATTGTTTCGTTATTTTATTGATTATAAAAAATCAATATTCAAAACGACCCAATTCATTTTCCCAAAAATTTGGGAATACAATAATTTTATTCTTAGTATTACACTACATCTATCCCAACTGATATACGTGTCCTTGCAAAAATGTTGATGACGTCATCGCATTTTTTTTTAAATTCCCACTACAAAAATGTAATGAGAAAAAAACACAATAGCCATGCAGTCGTCAAGTTTCCGACAGCGAGGGAAGTACTGTCTAAACTCTTTAGACCAATTTTTTTAAATTTTATAAACCTTCGAGTGGATCATAAAAACGTAGTAATCTTAAGAATTTACTGTCGAAGATAGGGGTTCTTTGAAAATATCTACAAGTACTTTTACAAATAACAGCACGAAAGAGGATGATGTCATAAATAGGTACAGCAATTTAAAAAGAACGTAATCAAAAATACAAATGTTCCTGTTTCAGCGTATTCGACAAATACAATTAATTTAAAAATGGCCGAATTTATTCCTTGAGTAGTTTCCACGCTGTATAATGTAACACCAAACGTTTTACGAGGGCACTAGAGACACATTTAAGTACATTATTTCCTTAGAGCCGTTTTACGCGTCACAAAATTACTCCGGAAATCACTCTTCACCGCAATTAGTTAATCTATATTGGGGGAGGTAGAAGAAGTAACTAGGAATACTTCATTTTGGTCAGTGATGTAACGAAAAAACATCAAGATCTGAAGAATGTATATTTAATGGCGTAAGAAACTACTTAACTATGAACAATTATTATTACTTATAACTACAAAACAAATAAAAACATACCAAAATGGCTTAAATGTAACAACAAAATAACAAAAAAGTCATTGTCAAAATTATACGAAACATTGTTGCGGTTACACTGATTGAGAGCGTCATTCTTGAGATGTTGGTTAATTCTCGTACGTAAAATTGCACTAATAGATTACAATTTAATCTTGAAAAGTTAACATGTTCCACAATTTCATCAAAAATATTGGAACCTTGAAAACTTTCCACTTCCTTTCTTAGCATTAAATCATCTATCGATTGACAATATTTGATATGCATCAGACGTGAGATCATTTATTTATTTATCGTCACGTCAGAGGATAATCGGTAGCAACAGACAATGTCTGAACACACGACATGAATTATTATTGTGTCTGAACATAATGCGAAGCGTCTATTAGGAAAATTTATTGAAAAAAAATCGCACTCAAATACAATTATCATGAATTAGTATTTATATGAAGAATTAACATTAAGTATCTCTGTTACTTATAGATACATGCGCTTCTACCACGATTTCAATACTATTTCAGCTAAAGGAAATAGGTAACTGAAAAATATAATGAATATTTATATTGACGATGAATTTTTGAAAATGTAACAAAGCGATGTTTTCACATTAATATGGGTATGTCAAATCATTTAAAAACATCCCGTTTGTTGTGTTTTATTTTCCAAGTTATACCGTAAAAATCAAGTAAATCTGCCCACTAATTAAAACGTAAAGTTGGTATTTCAGCCAACATTGACTTTAAATTCGAATCGATTGCTGATAATTAATTCAGTTCTTTAACGTATCAATCGCCCACATTTAAAGTAAATTGAAAATTGAAACAAACACGTAGGTACTTGCCTGCAGTCTATTTTTCAACCTAATTATTTAGGTTCAGTGGACTTATATTGGACAGACTTTAAATATGACATAACTTGGCCCCATTTTCTTGAAGAAAAATACAGTTATACCACGAAATTTCAGAATTTTAAAATATTTTCAAATATTGTTTTATTCATATATTCATTAATGGTACTATTCCAAGAAATCTAATAACATTTAAACTCCGATTATTACAGTTAAGCTTTGCTTTAGACAGTTAATTTTGTGAAGGACATGTTTCTATACACAATTGTTATTGAGTTTCTCGTACTATTTTCCATTAAAATTTTGCTGTAAATATTGGCTACTGACAGCCTACGTTTAGTGTCAACACCAGATATTTACGGCAGAATTTTTTGTTATCTGCTTTTACACTGATACGAAACGAACATGACACATTCGAGTTTTTGCAGGAAGTTGAAAACACAATTTGGTCAAAAGCTGCAGTATGCTTATCCGTTCCCGCATTCCAAATAAAAAAATCTCCCCAAATGTACTTTTTAATGTGATCCTGCAGAAATTCAGAATTTTCAATTCAATTTCACTAGTAGCGATGCCATTTCAAATCCCATTAGGAATATTGGAAATGGATATCGGTTTTGTTCTAATTCTAAGCTCACCTTTGTACCTACAGGTTCCCGATGCAAGTGGATTCCGGTTTAATCGAAGTGCTTTCACCTTCTCCGGCCTACTATCCGAATTTAGATAAGCTACGGATCACGTTAGGGGATCCCCCGGAACGAGTTAGGTGGAGGTCTAAGCAGAACTTGGATTTCGCCTTTCTCATGTCCTACTCTCAGCCTAAAGGTCAGTTCTAGACGTAATCCGACACCGAACGAAAATCATTTATGATTTTTCCAGGAACGTTTTATCTGCAACTAGAAGACGATATTTTAGCGAAGCCAAATTACGTTACCGAAATGAAAAAATTTGCCATAGAAAAAATTGCTAGGAAGGAACCGTGGTTTGTCTTGGATTTTTGCCAGCTGGGTTTTATTGGTGAGTTTTTGTAAAGAATAATAAATGAAAGAGGGGAACTTCACCGTCCACTTTATTGCACTTTTTGGGGTCAATTTTCTTTTGTCTGTTTCCTTTATTCATTCATAAAAGATGGATGTGACCGTAAAAGAACTTTCACGTTTGTGTGCTCACGTAAAACAATAAAAGGAAGATGTTCCTCAAATGACTTATTTATCGCCACGCTGTTAATCGGTGCTTTTGTTGCAGGAAAAATGTTCAAGAGTGCAGAACTACCGTGGCTAATACAATTTTTTCAAATGTTCTACAACGATAAACCCGTGGATTGGCTCTTGGACCATCTTATTTTCACCAAAGTTTGCAACTGGGACAAGAATAGTGTGAGTATGGATATTACTTGGCTGTTCATCATTCTGACATTGCGCGACTACACGTGATTCAACGCACTGCTGAATGAAAAATCTTATATACTAAAATATGCGAAACATATGATGTATTAACACGATCTGTCTTGCTTATTATAAAAAGTTAGTAAAGTTCAAGGTTGTAACAAAAAAGACGGTTTAACGATACTGTGATTCACCGGTTCATCCCAGTCACTCAATTACCCAGAGAATCTAATTTGTAATTATTTCATAAACAATATTGACAGCTGGAATATTATAACACCTGACTTCATGCTCTTCTGCGGATAATGTTTCTGAGTACACTCGATTTACTTTGGAAAGCAGAACTTCGTAAATTTAAAATTGACAGATGTTTATAAATCAGATACCTACCATATTTTATTTTTTAAGAAGCGGTATTTCATGTTGTTATAGCATACCCCGTGCCAATTTAGTCAAAAAAAAACAGCACTCAAGGCATTTTCTTAATATGTGGGTACCAGGTGGTTGAAATGGTGCGTAGCAATATCACAAGAAATGAAAACTTAGCATGTCAGCATATCATTAGTATTAAACTTTCCAAAAAATTGTATAGGATTGAAAGGATTTTTGGTAAAATAATGAAGGAAAATAATTATCATTTTGTGATGATCTTTAGAAAACACACACAGCACTTTCTATTATCGGAAAATATTTCGAATCTTCGTTTGCAAGTGCAGATGTAGATAAATACAACTGCACTTTTTGTATCTAAAACGAACACTGTATAAACTCAGTCAGTTACAGAAAAAGTTATATCTCTTTCAAAAAAACAAAAACAGTACAGTATTCTCTACCGTTTCCTGGAAGTTAATAACCTTCGTGTTAAATGCACAGATGTAAAATTGGACATAAATTGACAAAAAGCACAGATGCAACGAGTAACGTAACTGTGACAAAGAAGAAACACTTCCTGTGACATTAATTTACCGGTTATTGGCATCATCGCATTTAACATTGATAACCCAGTACTCAAAGATAACAAAACGTGTTTAACCCATGTGCGTAATATTTTAAGCTGCTGTCGCCTGACAAAATAGGGTTGCATTGTTTTTCATCCAATTTAATTAAAGCTAACAGTACAACCGAGAGTTTATCCACAGACGTAATTTTCATTTTAGTTTCTATTTTTGCGTGTACATAATAAATCCGGGGTTGCGAAAACGGCATATATACATGTAGGTACCAACTAAGACGATGCATTTAATTAAATCGTTGAAGGAGAAAGTGGTTAAGTTGCGTAACGTTAGCAGCACTTTTATATTTGTATGAAGTATTTCATTAACGCAAAAGGCTTGAGGCTGTGTTTCTTCACTGGAGTGTGGCTGTTCCAGATAATGAGTAGTTGTTGTTTTAATGTAGCAATTTTGGAAGATTAAAATACTGAATTTTAATAGATGTGTATTTATTTCAATTATATAAATATTTAATAAGTTAACTGCAACATTTCGTGAAACCGTTATCTGTAAGATGCGAATAAATTATTATACAAAATCTGGCATCTAGAACAAAGTAGAAGCTTCATTTTTCACTAATCAAATTGTATAAACTCACAATGAGGCTATACACTTAAAAGATATCTGCTTTTTAAGTATGCAACTCTACTGTAGACGAGTTTAGTTGGCACAACCATAAATTCGGAGAAATTTCCGTTTATTGCCGTATTTACAGACTTATGTAAAGTTGGAATTGCTAGATAACCTTTGTGTGAACCAGTCTTCACACAGTAGTATTTTTAAACATACCAGTTCCAAAATTAGAAAAGAAATTGGTGTAACTTAATTGCGACATGTTGGCCGCAGCAACTTAAACGACTTAATTGATGGCACATGAAACTTCTAATTTGTTCATAGATGTATTTTTTAATTTTTATTCGTGCAGGGGCCTTTTACAAAAACACTGACTAAATTTAGCTTTGTTGAAAAAAACAATAACATTCTTTTGACATCTGTGCTAGAAATAAGTATATTCGGTTATTACAGAGACAGTCCAGAAATAAATAAATATTAGTTATAACTAAAGCGACATTGAATTTTGATTTTAAAGTATTAACAATTTAAGTAACAGTCTGTGTATTCAAAAAGAATATTTTAGGTTAGATAAACAAATTCTCTATTTAGTAATTTTAATTTAGTTTACTGTCAATATTTTTCTGTTACGTTCCATGTATACTTTAATCCTTAGTTATTCTGTTTATATTTATTATTGCGCGTACTTACGACTGAGTTGATGAAATATTGTTGATCGCTACACTGAAAAAATCGTTCAGAAAAGCGAACATATTTAAAAAAAATCTCGTTAGGGGTGTCGTTGCTTTGGACCTCTTTACAAGTCTTTTTAAATGGGATACATTCGTTTATTCTAGGATTTGACGCTGGAAATGTTCTTTTATTTAAATGGAGTCATGCCAGTGCAACTGATACAAAACAAACTTTTCTTCTTATTGATATAGCTATTAAAAAAGATCTGAGTTGGAGTTGTTTTGAAGTTTTTATCCTTTGCAACGGTTTTAAAAAGAGTTATTTATAGAAATTTTCTCGACTCTTCTTTTTACTTCGTGAGCGTAAGCTAAGGAAGTATTGTAATCGGATCCATCCAACGTTCATTCATTTGTGTTTTCTTGACGTAGAGTATGAAAAATAGGTCTCTCGTTTTTGTTTATCTGTCTGTGGTCTGTGTTGATTTTTATTGTTAAGATAATCTCCGTAGGTGCTGAACCAATTTTGTCAAATGTTACATGTATGTATTCTAAGAATATTGCGTATACGGTAAACCGCTAACCAAAATTTGTCGAATCGTCAGCACGAACAAATGATAATGTCACTTCAAAAGGTCACATAGTACATTTTATTTAAAATATATAAAATAACATACTCCTATACTTGCAGTTTATGAATCCATCTTAGGTTTTTACTCTAGACATCCACATTTTCGGAAAAAAAAAATAATTTTACCACTTAACTTTGAAACTACAAAGCCGAATGGTCTGAAATTGTGCAATCGTTTTAAGATTCTCCTCTTTGGACTAATTTTGTAACCGATATGTTTGTATATGTACAATTCTATAGTAATAAACGCACGTAATAAGCCGCGTATCTATACACAATTGTTGTTGAGGTTCTCATACTATTTTCCATTCAAATTTTGCTGTAAATATTGCCTACTGACAGCCTACGTTTGGTGTCAACACCAGATATTTACGACAGAATTTTTTGTTATCTGCTTTTACACTGATACGAAACGAACATGACACATTCGAGTTTTTGCAGGAAGTAGAAAACACAATTTGGTCAAAAGCTGCAACATGCTTATCCGTTCCCGCATTCCACATCCACATTTTCGGGAAAAAAAAAATACAATTTAACTTTGCAACTACAAAGCCGAATGGTCTGAAATCGTGCAAAAAAGATTCTCCTCCTTGGACTAATTTTGTCAATAAACATTGATTTCATCATTTTTAACTTTGACGTCATGAATTTTTGTAAGGAATAAATATATTATTTTTAGATAAACAATGTAACATTAGTCGTAACGTTCCTCTATTACTTTAATGAAAGTTAGATGATAAACAAACTGTATTTTGTTAGAAAATCCCTTCGGATATTATGCGTCAATGGAAATCGCCAATATATCGACACACATACGGACGTATCCATGGAAACAAACATCCTGCATTTTCCTATTTTATAAGTGAAATGAAACACTCATCACTATAAGAAAACATGAAATCAGATGACGTTCGTTAACATGACCATATTTTGCCACCGTTCGAGAAATGTTGACTTTGGCTCCTGAATTCTCAGCGTGTTAGAAGTAAGCCGTAACGTAGCCTTCGTATTCTGACATAATATGAAGATTTATTACTTCTCGAGCGTAAGCTAGGGTCTATTTGACCAATGACCAATTTAATGTTTTCTTAACGTTTCACAGCTCCTAGTACATGTAAAAACGGGTCTTCTGTTTCCGTCTATCGTCTGTCTGATGTCTATTTAGATGTACTTTCAGAATTACTTAGGTAGAGGTGGTGAACCGGTAATCAAAATTTGTATCTTGGATCTGTCCAAAGTGGTTGCGCATACACGTAGCAAAACAATTTATAGAAGCTTTTATAACAAAAAATAAAACTCGCAGAATCAAATTTTAGAGTTTATTCAAGAGAGTGGACTTTTTTAACTCATTGTGCTTTAGGGGCGAGGGAAATTATATGTAAACAAGTGGAGACTAATTTTTTTGTCATCTTTTTAAGTTTCCTTGTTTATCTACTAACGCTCGTTCCTCCAACAGAAAAATGCCGAAGCTCATTTTATCTCTGCTTATTGAAAGTTTCAAGCGGCTATTTTTTATTAAAACACGCAGTACTTTGATACAAAAAATTGTGCTTTGAGTTCGAGCAAATTGAAGTTAGGTTTTGACAGTGGAAACGAACAGGAAAAGTGGCAATTTCAGGGTTGTTCGCAATTCCAAGTAAAATTTTTTTAACATATTCGGATACATTATCCACAGCACAATAAATCATGTTAAAGTTTCTAAACATCTGCATCATACTCGTAAATTTTTCAACTTCTAATCCAAGATTTGTGCAAAGTTTCACCATTTCGCAGTTAAAGAATATGTTGCTAGTGGTGTTTCGTTTTTCTCGGAGATTCAAGTTCACAGCATATCAAAAATTCACGAATTCAAGGAACGAAATAGTCTGCCACGTATGTTTTTATTAGTGAAACAAACACACGTATTCCAGCCTGGGATATTTTAGTATCACGTGCACTCTGTTACATTTTGTCCGGGATGTGGCCAAAGTTTTATCTACCGAATAACTATCGTATTTGACCTCATACGTCTTCTAATGCCGACCCCAGTTTACAAGGGTGAATTTCGAGCCACAGATCCCAGATAATTACTTGTATGTGCCCTTTTAAAACTATTTTGTAGATTTTTTATGTTACGTAATCAAAGTATGCAGCATTGTCAACTATTTTTAACTTTATTTTTCCAAAAACTTAAAATAAGTAAATATAATTTTATTTGAACAAATCTTTAACAAAAAAAAAATATTTCTATGAGTAACGCCTGCGTTAAAGTAGGATCTCGTCAAGTAGGTAGTTGCATAAATAATTGTCCTGTTTTAAATATTTTAAAGAATTAGAAAAAAACGCTTTCAAAGTTTTGACAGATAAAGGTGCTCAGAAACAATTAACATTTACATTACAATTTTTGTAATTTTAGTTGTAACGCAAACTTCAGTTTCGTTACATAACTACAGTGCATTTAAATAATTGGGTGATTTAGTTAAATTACTGTCGTAAATATTTTATTTGATAAAATTTTGAGATTCAAATAACTCGTCATTTTTTGCAGAAGTGTATTTGTTAAAATAAACGAACCATTTACCGAAATAATAGGAACTTATTGAGTTCTTGTCGAGAATTTTCTTTCCTCATAAGTCGTACTCATAACTACTAGCCAGCAACAATGAGCGCTCTTTTCCTTGAGTATACGACGCAAATGTTCATTCCGCTGTCAATTATAGGGTCTACTCTTTTATATGAGTCGTAATAATTCATCAGGTTTGTTGGTTGGAAGCCAAAGAATTCTTTTATTACGTTCTCTTTATACGAGCCTGCGAATCAAATAAAAAAAAAATGCCAGAGTGGAAGCAGCATGTGTTGCGAAAACAATTATCCGAAACGACTTTGGAAAGAAACATAAGAAAATTGCTTGTAATGTCTCATCCTGCACTTTCATCTATAAAGTGTTTCTTGGTTGGTTACAGAACTGTAAAAGGGATAAGGCCAAAATGTGGGTGCACTACAAACCTTCGCTTTTCCAACATATTGGAACACATTCCTCCCTCAAGGGAAAAGTTCAGAAACTTAAGGTAGGTGCTCCATATACTTCGTCGAACGTGCTTCACATTCATAAAATTGTTGTGTAAATATTTCCTCAAACAAGATTTAAAATGATTGCTGTGCCTGTTAGCGGTATTTTTTCGCACAGATAAGCGTAATTTTTGAGATTTTTTTCGTGCCATCGCTGTAAATTACCTTTTCACCGAGTTACCGCGGCTTATAGAAGTCACCGAGCATCAGATGAATTAAATTAAATTTGAAATTCCTTCTTTTATCTTTTCAAACCGGAACCGGTCTTTTTATTTCAGGACAAGCAGTTTGGCAAAGTGGCGCTGTTCTTTCCTCACGGCAACCCCGATGCGGAAGTTATCTCAGGAATAAAACATTATAAGCAGTACACCTTGGAGCGGGCGTATTTAGGAGAAACATTTTTCTGGGGCTTGCTTCCATCCCCAGGCGACCAACTCATATTTAAATTCACCGCTCCAATATGGATAAAGAGGTAATTGCATCGAGAAAACACTCGTAATTATTTTCGTTCCAATGAACGACCGTTTCAGGTTCTTCTTCAGAAGCGGTAACGCCGAGCATCCTTCAGATAAGTTCTATAATACCACGGTGGAGGTGTTGCCCGCTGAAGCGAATCAATACGGCAATTCCTTGAACGTGACAAGTGATGGCTATATTGTTGTAGGTAAGTCACGTAGTGTACTACTCAAATCGCCTTTATTGATGGTGCATTCTGTAGCAAGTGCAGCTGGTGTAATTTAAGACATTTTTCTTTCGCGGAAATTGCACATATTTTACTCTGTCTGATGTGAGTCTATTGCTAAAATCACCGAGTCATCATCGTTGAAATCAAATGCGAAATGATGCTGATTTATTCTAGTAATTTGTATGGATCGCGTGAACATGCTATTTTATGAAAGTAGATTTTCAAACAGCGTATAAATTAGGTCCAGTAAAGTATTGTGTGTATATTCAAACACTCAGTCAACGCAGAAGCTTTCTAAGATCCCATCTAGCAGTATTTTTTCTCAAAAATGTGTTTAACATTTTTATTTTATACCTATCCAACGTCAGTCCATTAGATGCAATAAAATGTTTATGTATACTTTTTAAAAACGGCTGTTCGAAAAATAATGAGGATCCTGATCATTTTAACAAAATGTACGCATCGGAGGTTAGTCCCAAAATAAATTGAATTATTATGAATGATAAGTTCTAGTGACGTAAAAACGGCAAGAAACAGCTGACTATAAGCGGGTTCTACAGTTGGTTGCATGACAACTAATTGCAACCAAAATTGATCGCACGTAAATTTATCGCAACGTCAATTGGTTGCTAATACATTTTTTGTATTCTGATTTTCAACCTACAATAAATTTAAGAAAAATATAATTTATAATAAACATCGAATTAAAAACAACAAACAACAAATTAAAAAAAAAACATCATTTCAGGGAAGACATACGGATTCAATTCCAAAAATGACTCGATTACAAAATATGTTTTACACCCGATAGATTACCTTCCTTTTACTCCCCAAACGTAAACTATTCTTCGATTCTTTTAATTTTCGAAACGTCTCGTAAAACCATCGCAATTACGACATCTAGGATGTTTCCGTTTCTGTCTTCTTCTAACTCACTGCGGCCTTTGCTATAAAGAACGTACGTATTACGTAACAATTTACGGATGGAGACTATTTCAAGGGATTGAACTAACCATCTTCTCTATGTACCAGAAGCTCCAAACAAAACGATCGTTAGGGTTACATTTTGTATTATTTCTATTTTATATTAATTCTGTTGTTTAATTAAAATGTATTTTACTATTTGTAATTTGTAATCGAGTCCGTCGGCCGACTCTCTACTTTTACGTTTTCTCGACCTTTCATGACCCCTAGAGTACGAAGAAATAGGTCTCCCTTTTCCATCTGTCTGTGTGCCGTCACAGATTTTTATTAGACAGATAATCTCGGAAAGTACTCTGCCGATTTTATTTTCAAATTTTGTATTTATACTTTGAGTATCATGTAGATGGTAAAACGCTAACCAAAATTTGTCTAATCGTCCCCACCAATAATGTGATGACGTCACTTCAAAATTATACATAGTAAATAGGTTTTAAATTGTATAAAATAACATAGTCCTCCACATGTAGTTCATGACTCCGTGTTGAATTTTTATCAGAAACGTCCAGATTTTTGGAAAAAAAATCAAAATTATAATACATTTTGCAATTTAATTTTGAATCTGCAAAACCGAATACTCTTACTAATCTTGCAGATGGTTTAAAGTTATGATAGTCATGATAAATTTTTAATGAAAATATATTTACTTATCCCATCCAAAAAAATGGATGACCTCAGCTCAACATTTTTTTATCACTGCATTCATATTTTTTAAATTTACTTATACAGGATGTCTTAAGAAAATTAATGACTGAATCAATTTATTTTATTGTTTACATCAAGAATTGAAAAACTGAATACTTTGAAATCTTGCAGACGTTTTGAAGTTATTGTAATGGTAATCTTTTAATCAAAATGTATCTTGTTTATCAACCCCAAAAAAATCTATTACGTCATCCCAAAATTTTGCCCAATAAATGCTATCTAAAATCTGCAAAATATGATCAGTTTATACTTTTGTAATTTATCACTGCATTCATATTTTTTATATTTGCTTATACAGGGTGACTCAAAAAAATTAATAAACAGTCAATTTATTTTATTGAATAAATCAAGAATTGCAAAACTGAATGCTTTGAAATCTTGCAGACGTTTTAGTCATTGTAAGCGTGGTAAATTTTTAAATAAAATAAATTTGTTTATTGCTTCCCCCCAAAAAAGTGATGACGTTATCTCAAAATTTTACCCAATATATTCTACCCAAAGTGTGCAAAATATGATGAGTTTTTACTTGTGATGGATCATTGCATTCACATTTTTTATTGGTCAAATTAAGAACGAGTCACCCCATTTTCCCGAAAATGTGAAAATACAAACGTCTTTATTTAATAAGACTTATAATAATGATATTCAGAACATTATGTCGATTATAGCTTACCACTTAATAGTTTTGATCCTCTTTGACAGGACGAACTCATTCAAATCAAACTAATTTCTACGTGACATTCTTCCGATCTATAAGCAGAAACACTTGTTTCTCTTATCGAGGATAACCTAAGGACGTACAGTAATGGAATCTGTCGGGCAATTTGGTACTTTCATATTTTCTCGATATTTTACAGCCCCTAGACAAGGCCGTATTTAGGGGGAGGCTAGGGGATGCTGAGCCTCCCCTAGATCTAGACAACTTATAATTAACCAAATTTGAATTACAACATCGAAAATCAAAATAAAACGTAGTGTTTTGTTCAATATGCCAAAGTCAGAGCAATAAAAAAGTCTAAACCGTCGACATTGTGATCCGGTTATTGCAATTCGTAGAAAACATCTTTTAGTTTAGTTTTTGTTTCACTGTCACATCTACAGATTGATAAATATTATCGTTATTTTTGTCTTAAATTACATAAATGTACAAAATATGATGAGTCTGTACTTGTGATTTATCATTCCATTCATATTTTTTGGAATTGCATATAATAATGAATGCGTGAATTTATTTCAATGATTTAATCAGGTACTACAAAGCCGAATGCTTCGAAATCTTGGAAATGTTTTAAAGTTATCATAAGCATAGTAAATTTTTGATCAGAATGTATTTGCTCGTCCCCCCTAAAAAATTGATGACGCCATCCCAAAATTTTGCTGAAAAAATCCTATCTTAAATGTGCAAAGTATGATGAGTCTATACTTGTGGTTTATCACTGCATTAATATTTTTTAGATTTCCTTATATACCTAGGGTGTGAATGACTGAGTCAATTTATTGATTAAATCAAGAATTGCAAAACTGAATACACACTTTGAAATTTTGACGTTTTGAAGTTATTGTAAGTATGCATAGATAATGCCAACGTGGTTGGCGAAAAGCGTCGACAAATGTATTGTGTGTTTTCGGTGTTGTGGAAATACACGTTCTATAAAATGTAAAATGTTCGAAAAATTATAAAATTTAATTTTGCGAATTTTTCTGCGCGTAAGTAAAAAAAGTATTGTAATCGACTCTATCGGGGGGCGACTGGCTACTTTTATGTTTTTTCGTCATTTCATGGCCCATAGAGTATGAAAAATTAGGTCTGTGTACCGTCTGTTCAGATTTTTATTAGGCAAATAATCTCCAAAACTACCGGACCGATTGTATTTTATAATGGTAAAACTCTGACCAAAATTTGCCCAATCTCCCTATCAATCTTAACATCTAAAAAATGTTTATAATAAATTTTATAAAATAGCATACTCTTGTATTTGTTTTATTGAATACAAATTCGCAAAATCAAATTTTTTAATTTTTCGAAGAAGCAGGATTTGTGGGCACTGCACTTCGGAGGCGAGGAAAGTCCTATCGAAATAACTTGCGACCAATTTTTTACTTTGGTTATCTGCTCGAAATATATTTCATATTGTCCGCTCTTGTGCTTTTATCACAAAACGGAAATCGTAAAATCAAATTTTATTATTTTTCAGAGAAGCGGGATTTTTGCTTTTAATAGTTGTAAATCTTATATTTATTTGTTCGTTCTTGGTTGTATTAATTCCACACAATGGAAAAATTCATTTCTAGCTACAATTTAAACGTTTGATGTTACGGTTACCTGTCAATCTGTGCCGATATCGCTGTTGTTGGGGAGAAATAGCGATTGTTTTACGACACTTTGCCAAAATTAAAACAATTGGACTGCACAGAAAAAAGTTTACTTGTAAATTTACTGTGAAAATCACAGGTAATTTGTAACCCGAGATAATAAGGGTAATATTCCAACGAAATGTATTTTTAAGTTTGAATGTGATATTTACTTTTTGAATGTAAATCGAAATTACAAAAGAACATGTAAAATTACAAGTAAAATGTAATTTTGACGATTGTAAATTTACAATAAAATATGTAAATTTCCGTGAATGGGTATGTAAATTTACGTGAATTGGTATGTAAATTTCCGTGAATTGATATGTAAATTTACACAAATTATTGTTATTTTTAGTACTAGTTTTAATCAAAGAAACCATGTCGGACAAAGTGAACCTTTTATTTTATGGTGAAAAACATAATAAACATGTAATAAAATCATAAACACAAAACAAAGTCATTGATGTTGTATATACTTTACATTAATTTAATTTGTTCATAAGGCCAATTACTTTGCGTTTTGTTGGTGTTATTCTTTTTGATTTGGATCCTTGATCTGGATGTATTTTCAAAAAAAATCTTTGCATCATTTCCAAAACTGCTGATACTTCGTCTGGATATTCTAAATTCATTATAAAATATAATCCAAACGCCCAAGATACTGCATCTTTTAAAGTGACAACACTTGGAATCACTACTTGTCGTTCTAAAACTACGTGATAAATTGTTTGTGGATCGCTCTCTAGAAAAATACAAAAATACATTAAAATGTTATAGGTACAAAGACGTTTTAAATACTTGCCCATTTCAATTGCACATGGCGCAGCCACCTTGATAATTTCATTTAAATTATTCATATCATCACCCTGTGATAAAAATTGCATTAACATAACAATTAAAGATGACATGGGCAAATTATAGTAAGTAATTATCCGCCT